TCCTCTTATTTCGTGGTAGATCTTTCCAACTTTTAGATTGTTCAAAAATTGTAAATATTGATTTACACGACGAACAAAATGGTTTGATGTTATGGGGCAGGCAGCAAACAAGCTGAAGATTGATGCGGTTCAAGTAGTTCTTTGAAAAAAAGAGGTGTATGTATGTGTGCCTATTTTGTAGATATATTAATTAATAACAAATCTAAAGTGTAATAAATTTGTATTTTCATCTCAAATATTTTTCATCACTTTTTGCTGACAATTGTCCGAAAGTGTTGTGTCCTAAGTGATGAGACATGTAATTAAAAAACAATTTTCCCCTTTCAATAATTAATTGTGGCCAATTAATGGCAAATAACAATTTATGAGTGAAAAAGAACAGTTTGGTCTTATTTTTATTTTGGCGGCATTGACTTTGAAAAGAAATTCTTAAAAAAAAAAAAAAACAATAAACAAACATTACAAATTGAAATACAAGTGTATTGGAATATAATATTGCAAATTTTGTTATGGGGAATATAAATAGGCGAATGAGGAACGTATCTGTGCTTCAGGAACAGCATTGAGATGTTCATATTTTTGAAGTTATATAAAATATTTTTATTTAATATTAAATAAAATAGTTTTAATTTCTTTATGTGGTGTTCACACAAGGCTGGACTGGAAGCAGAATTTATTACCACAAATATACATCCATGGCACAATTACAGAAGGTAGAACTAATCCCCCTCATAAATATAATTTTTTTCTTTTTGTGCCCCTATTCTGTCAAAACATAGACATACTTAGTGCATTAGTATACCCTCCACATTGAAAAGATGGATATATTAACTTTGTCATTCCGTTTGTAACATCCCTAAATATTCGTCGTAGACTCCATGAAGTACATATATTCATAATCAGCATAAAATTCTAAGTCGATTTAACGATGTCTGTTGCAATTACGATACAGCCAACATTATTAGACGTAGAGATTCAAAGTTTGGCACAACAATATGTATTATGTCTAGGATTGTTGGTATTGAAAATCTAATATATCGGTCCATCGTATATATCGTTTTGGTATTGCCCCATATAACGGTACCTCCCGATATTGTATTATGACAATTTTTCCACAGATTTGTCTAAAAATTGGTATTTGTAGTTCATAATGGGTTCCATTTCCGGTGGCAGAACATTGGAACATAGGAAAACGAGGACCAAAATATTCAAAATCTGCCACCGGGCTAAAACCCATTATGAACTAGAAATTCCAATTTTAAAACAAATTTATGAAAAAGTGTGAAAATCATCAAAATACCGAATATCGGCGATATCGAAACAAATAAAAAGCAGTAAGTTCTTTAAATGCCCTTCGTTTGGAAAAAATTGAAATTCTCCAAAAAAAAAAAAAAAAGAATAAATAAATAATATGAGTTGAAAAATAGTGTTAAAATCATAAAAATATTGAAAGTTTTGTTATTGGCCATTCGAATACGAAACTAAAAAAATCCGGGAAATAATGTCGCTGAAATCATCAAAATACCGAATATACGGTTATATGAGGGCTATACGAAGACGTGACAATTTTCTGTCATAGACTCATTTTCCCTTTAGAACATCAAACACGAAATTTGATCAATGTCACTAAAAAAATCAAAATATCGAATATAGGGAGGTACCGATATATGGGTGACATACAAAGACCTGGGCCTCAATTCTCGTTTTATGAAAATGTGAAATGAAAACTTTTATAAAGGAAAGACAAGACGTCATTTAAAGTTTTCATAGAACAAGAATCCAGCCCCTGGCCATAGACAATGCATAGACGATTTTTTTATCAAAGACTGTAGTACTCATAATGAACTTTAATTACGAAATTTGAAACAATTCCGAAGAACAATGTCGCTAAAATCATCAAAATACTGAATAAAGGGAGGTACAGTTATATGGGGGCTATAACTAAACGTGGACATTTATAGCCCATTTTCAATGCCAAAAGTCCTGCAGACGAAACACACATTTAAGTAAAATTTTATCAACCTACCTCAATTTGTTCGCATCGTTAAATCGACACAAACGCCATAAGATTTACATTTTTTTAATTTTATTGAATGAAAGCAAAAGATGTCGGAAATAGCATCAAATTTTAAAATAAGTTTAGATTTGTTCGAATTGGTCACTTTTGGCATGAATTATGGCCTTCATACAGCCAATGAAACCGTCACACGTCCAAGGTCTGCGGCCAAAATGTTTGCGTGCCCAAGGCTTTAATACACCCTCCAGAATATTTTCGCGATAATATTCGGCATTTATTCGGATGCCACGGTCGATTAATACGAGCGGAGAGCGACCATCGGCTGTTATGGCGGCCCACACCATCACCATTGCCTGCGCTTGAGTTCTGGTTGCCAACCGAAGGTGCACATTTCCGGCTGACCTCTTTGGCAAGTAAACACGATCATTTTGTTTACAAACTGCTGGACAACGAGAGTTTTCTCATTGGAGAAAAACAAATTCGACAGTTCACCACTTTCGGTCAAGCGAAGCAACTCTTTAGCTCTTTTGAGTATTATTTTCTTTCTGTTGTGTTGTAAGTTCTTGCACTTTTTGGAATCTCAATGGCTGTATATGGAGCTATACGAAGACGTGGACCTACATGGCCCATTTTCTGTTTATGCTGCAGTATCTATTACGAACTTCAAATACCAAATTTGGAACGATTCCGTTAAATAATGTCGCTAAAATCATTAAAATACCGAATATCGGGAGGTACCGTTATGTGGGGGCTATACAAAGACGTGGACCTGCACAGAAAATTTTCTGTCCTAGGCTGTAGTATCCATTACGAACTTCAAATGCCAAATTTGAAACAATTCCGGTGAATAATGTCGCTAAAATAATCAAAATACCGAATATCGGGAGGTACCATTATATGGGCGCTATATAATAACTTGGACCTACATGGCCCATTTACGAACTTAACCTGCCTATTGGCAAAATTCATGTGTGCAAAATTTTAGCCTTCTATCTCAATTTTTTCGAAAGATAGCGTGATTACAACAGACAGACAGGCACACAGACGGACATGGCTAAATCGTCTTAGATTTTACGCTGATCAAGAATATATATACTTTGTTGGGTCTGACATGAGTATTTCGAGGGTTACAAACGGAATGACGAAATTAATATACCCTCCATAGTATGTTGGAGGGTATAAAAAAGGTGTAGACTAAAAAGTTTTAAAATTTACCCCTTCCGGCAGATGTCACTATGGTTGATCTTGGGTCAGTAAAGTCACTCAGGGCTAGTGAAGTCATTCGACTGCGAAAACAATTTGTTAATTTTTCTGCTATTAAAGTTCTATATTTTAATATTTCACGACATAGTCGGATAATGTAAATGTAAACAAAGTCACTGATTCGTTTTTAATTGATAAATAATAATAAATCATAAAAAATATTCAATATTTTGTATTTTGAGAGAATTGAGTGAAACGACATCTATTGAAGCACTTTTTTCGGAGATAACAGATGAGACAACTTTTTAGTCTATACATTTATATGTCTATGCTCTCAGTGGAAGAACTTGCAAAATTTCTGTCTCGAATCGCTCTTTTTTGCAGAACTTTTGTGTTAACAGATGACTTCCAGTAACAATTTGCAAAAATTGTCGCAAATGTCAAGTTTACCAGCCTCGTACTACAGAGCAATTATCTTTACACAATCCCAAAAACAAAATTACATTTGTTACCGGAAACCCTGCTAAATATGCAGATTGGTGTAGGGTATCATATAGTCTACCCCGAAACTTTGGCATTATTGTCTTGACCATCATCTGTTTACCATGGAACCTAGTACATCTGTACCTCATCAATTTCGCACCCACATAAATACAATTGGATTACTAACAAAAATATCAATTGTTTTCAATTGATATGCGACTTTGTTAAACACAACAAAAAAATTGAACATAAATTATTTAACGACTTTTATGTCTTTATTAACATTTATCTACATATGTATGCATGTGGAGTATATGATGATCGATATCGCGATCGAGAATACAATTTCACTACAGATTACGGTACATTTCTTCTTGGCGAAATGCAATGATTATCTGCCAAAGAACGTTTTAAATTGGCGTCTATAAATTGAAACACCCACACAAACACTAATAAAAATAAACTTACTCACGTGTTACCCATTGTACAAGAGAGCGAGAGAGAGAGAAATCAAAACGGTATCCAAGATGATATTTTGATATCTCCAACATTGTGGGAGACACTCATGTGAATATCACATACACAATTACAAACAAACACTTGATGCGGCGAAAACCAATGAGAATCGTTGTGAGATTTGATTTGAATTGGCTCTAAGCCTTATTTGTGTGCGTGTGAGTGCTTGCAGCAAAACATCTGAGCAGCTACAATGGTGCCCAGTTGTGAGATGTGTTTTGAAAAAAAAATAAATAAAATCAAACTCAACGAATACTCACCGTTGTAGAAAATCCGACACAAACACATGCCCACATTTACCATGCTCAAGTTTTAGATACCAAAACCCAAGTTGTGCTCAAAAATATATAAAACCCCGTATGGCCAAATAACGAAAGGCATTTATTCGCAAATTGTCAAGACGATCGTAACGAAAAGAAAAATTGGGAGACATTTGTAATTTGTTGTTTGTGAAAAAAAGAAAACAAAAACGTTAATGGAGACAAAAAGAGGAATCGAAACCTAGAACTGAATTAATTGATGGATATTTTTTTTGTGTGTCAGTTAAATGAGAATTAAAAGATAAAGAAGACTATTTTGAGTCCTTTTGTTTTCTCTAAAATAAAAAAAATATAAAAGTATAAAATAATAGAATTTTGAATTTTGAAAAATAATAGAATTTTGAAATATTAGAAAGATTGCAAAATAAAGTGAATATTCCCCTACCATCTGCGGTGTGGTATAATCTGGACAAATGTCCTTTTGTTTATAACACAAAGGACTTAGTAAAAACTCAATATTTATTTTTAAAATCAAATCTTCTGGATTTGTTTTAAACATTCATATTTAATTCACGTTAATGAAATACCGTAATAACCGCGGCACAATACTGCAAATACAATTCAGAACATTTTTGGTGAAGAAACAATTTTGGCATAGGAAGCGCTGCTTTCAGGACGGTAAGTTAAAGAAAATACGGAAACAATAAATAAAAAAAAATAATCTATTATTTAATTAGTTAAAAATGTGTTTGTGTATAAATTTGAACACATTCTCTCAATTCTGATGGGATTTCAAAATAATATTCTCCACGTTCCTATTGTTGCAAAGGACGAAGTGTATTCGTTTTCAAACAAAACCGTTTATGAATGTGATCCCATAGCTTCAACATTTTTTTAGTGAGTAAAGAAACATTGATTGTATTGATCTGAGTCGAAAAGTTATAGAAAAGTATAACAATGTGCCACGGTATCCGTTTAAGGATTTTGAAGTTAAATCTGCCCATGTCTTTCTGGCTGCATTGATGGCATGGTAAAAGAATAAGGCAATCACATCGACACAGCTGCTGGGACAATGAACTGTCAAACCAATTTTGGAATGTACATTTTTGAATGAAAATTTTTCCAAATTTTAAAAATTGTTAAAAAAGCATATCAAAACAATCTCCGATAGCCATCGTGTAGGAAAACATATACAAATCAACTTATTATACCCTTAGCCATATTGCTACAGAGGGAATAAATCATTTTATACGGCCAAAACGTGCCTCATCGAAATAACGGTTTTAGATCAGAACGGTCGATCTGGCGATGTCCGTCCGTCTGTCTGTTTGTCTGCCTGGTGCGCTCAATAATTCTTGAAGGGAGTATTCGATTTGATCCAAACTTAGTACATCGTAATATTATTGTCAAACTTATATAGAGTTCGGATATGGGCAATATCGGTCTACTCTTTCTGGTACATCCCCCACAAAATGTCAACATTTTCAAAAATAAATAAATAAATAATAAATTGAACTGCACAGAAATAGAAAGGATAATCCGATTTTGCTCCAACTTTGCAAATCTTAAAATTTGCTTCAGTACTACTTCAGGTGCGAAAATGGTCCAATATCGGTCCACTCCATCAAGTCCTCCCCACAACCGATCAAAATTTTGAATAATTATAACTTTTATAAAATGTGATTTAAGTACCCGATTGTCCTTAAATTACACACATCTCAATATTTTTATTAACCCAAGGTCTGGTGTGAAGATGGAATATATCGGTCCACTCCTTCTGGTACTTCCCCCACAAAGTGTCAATGTTTTGAATAAACAAAAATATTATAAAATCCGAAATAAGCATAGGGCTCTCTTCAAATTACACACATCACAATAGTTTTATTAACCGAAGGTCTGACGAAAAGATGGGATATATCGATCCACTCCTTCTGGTACCTCCCCCCACAAAGGGTCAACATTTTTAATATTCATGAAACTCATAAAACTCGAAATAAAGATCCGATGCCATTTAGACTTGGCACATCTGAATATTTCTATCAACAAAAGATCTGTTGTAAACATGGTAGAAATCGAACCATTCCTTCTGGTACCTCCCCCACAAAGGGCCAACGTTTTGAATGACCAAAACGTTGATAAAATCCGAAATAAGCATCAGGTTTTCTTCATATTAATATAAGATATAATAGATATAAGATCTGTTGTGAAGATGGGATATATCGGTCTTCTCCTTATGGTACCTCCCCCACAAAGATTCAAAATTTTGAATATCCATGAAGCTCATAAACGCGGAATTAACATCCGATTCCATTCTGACTTGGCCCATCTTAATATTTCGATCAACACAAGATCTGTTATAAAGATTGTAGAGATCGAATCATTTTTTCTGGTACCTCCCCCATATACAGAGTGAGATAAAAAACTGCAACAAATTTATTTAATTTTTACATTTTTTTTAAATCTAATTGAAAGAAAAAAAAAAATCGGAAATAGCATCAAATTTTAGAATATGTTTAGATTTGTTCGAATTGGTCACCTTTGGCACGAAATATGGCCTTCAAACGCCCAAAGAAACCGTCACACGCTGCCCGAATGCTGCGCTGTGGCATTTTGACCCATTTCCGGCGAAGCGCTTGCTACCAGTATCACTGTAATATTTATTCACATTTAAATGCTGGATTGCTTTAAATGCTGGATAGCCACTTGTGGTTTTCCAGCCAAATATAAAGTAATCACACTATCACGCTTGAATTCCATCACGAAAAACTTTTATTCTGGAAAATTCTCACCAAAATGCTTTTGTACGTTTGTAAAAAATATAATGAGCTGTTACTGGAATAATTTCAACAGCTGTCGGACGGTTGGCTTAGAAATGACAGCAGTCTGAAGTTGGTTGCAGTTTTGTCATCTCACCCTGTACTTGCTAATTTTCGTTATTTTTAAGTCTTAATCATTAAATATTTCGTATTCTCTTCCTTGTTCTCTTCTCAAAAAAAATATTTAATGTATTTCCATATTATTTTTAGAAACGGAAATTTTATAAATAATCTCAGCACTTAACAGCTGAAATCTTGAGAAAATATTTTGATAAATAATCAAAGCACACAGAAAATGTCAAAAAACACACATTTTTCTAACGGATTTCCATGTTTGCTCATCTTGATAAAATAACGCTTAATTTCACAAGCTAAAAATGAGAGGAGAAAATAAAGAAACGTAAACAAATTCCAGTGATCGGTGAATGAAATTACAAATATTTATTAATCACACAGACACAAACACACAACAAAAGGAGAAACAAATATTTTTCTGTTATTATCGGTCTGTTGCCTTATTTTGTGACGACATTTCTAACGAATTCTCTGAATTGACACTAATTTGCCTTTATTAGCAGATAATTATGAATTAAATAAATGTCGAATCTTGTTACTGTCACCGCAGTTATTTGTTGTTTGTTTTTTGCTCTGCGATTTAAATATATATTGATCTATTTGCTAATTTGTTTAATAAATATGCAAATATTGATTCGAACATAATTGAGATGTGCCAAAGAGTGGTGTTATTTGGAAAATCGCAGACGTAAATAAGTGTTTTTTTTTTTTTTTGTTATACGATTGATACAATTTTTCGTTGACTTAATTTGTTTGAACATAGCACATTGTCGTCATTTCTTTTACGGCTGAAATAGATGACGACTAAAATTCCAGCAAACATTAATCAAACTAAAAGAACGCCATCTATTGAAAACAAATTGTTTTCCTCATTGAACTCTGTTGGCAGTTCGTTGTCTAGACATAATTTGTCTTTGATATTGGTGTCACAAATATTTTTTAATAACTTTATCCAGTTTATACTGGATTGGTGCAGATATTTCAAGATATTTGAAGTTGATCTAAAAGTCTTTTGACTGGTTAGACGATGATAGCCAAGATCTTGAAAATTTCTGTAGAAGGTATATTTGGTTTGTCATTCCATTGAAAAGCTTATATCCGAAAAAAACATATGTATATACATTTTTTTCTTGTTCAGAAAGTCAATATTGATATATCCATGCAGCTGGAGCCTAATGAGACCTAATTATTTGCCGGTGGTAATTATTCGAATTCAAAATGATAAAATTTTGAACAAATATGTCTAAGGCTAACATATATTATACAACGTTTACATACAAATTTTGTAAAGCTTTTGACAGTGAGTAAGTGAAGGGGACTATAGTTTTTACAAATTTTAAAGCATTAATTCACATTCTCCAAATTTCTTTCTTAATACGGATTTATTTAACATACATTTATTACCTTCCAAAAAATAGATTTTATTACGATTGTATTTATTTTAAATCCGCTGCGGAATCTGCATTATAACGGAATAAATCACTGCGTTCTTGACTTGCATTGCCGCACAAAGTAGCAAATGTTCCTGCATAGATGTTGTTTAAGCTATGCATTCGAACAATAAGAAACAGTAAGGAAAGGTCAAAAGTAGTGCGGGGCCGACTATATGATACCCATACCACTATGCGTATTTAGTAGAGCTTCCGTAACAAAAAAAATTTATATTGGGAATTTATGTAAAGAAGATTATATCAACTACGGACCTTATTTGAATGCGTATCATAGCTTAGGAATAGCACAATTTGGGCACTATATCCAACTCTGAATCTGAATTATATTAAAATATATTTATTGGAGCATTAGATATACCGGCAATAGATGTAATATGAAAGATATATTAAATTTAGGCTAATATTACATAAATGGTGGACAATAACCGTAAAATCAGATGAAGAACCGATCTCCATAAAATTTCGTGCTGTATTTTATGTCCGATATCAAATAACCTTATTGTGGAGTTCATATTACGCATGTGAGGGACTTAAAACCCAAAATTGGTTATTGGATTTTATATTGGAGCTAAAGCTATGTCTGAACCGATTTTCACCAAAATTTGAATCCCGTCGCAATTGCCAAAATTCAGTCCATTCGGGCTGAAATTAGTCATTGGGTGCACAATAAACCTGAGATCGGATAAAGATATATATGGGAGCTATGTCCAAATCTGAAATGATCTTCACAAAATTTTAGGCACTAATTTCTGAGCGGATTTATATATATTGGAGCTAAAGCTATATATGAACCGATTTTCGCCAAATATGATGTACTGAATTCGGTCGGATGTGCCAAAATTCAGGTCATTTGGATTGAGATTGGGCATTTAGTGCCCAATTTCGCCCGAAATCGTTTGAAGATATATATAGGAACTATATCCAAATCTGAACCGATGTTAATAAAATTTAGTAGAGATATTTCTGGGTTGTATCTGATATCTGGTACTAAATATCGTTCTTGTGGACTTCATATTACGAATGTGAGGGACTTAAACACCAAATCGGATGAAACATATATATGGGTGCTAAAGGGTGCAAATTCCAAATTTGAAGTACTTATTTCCAGACTGATTTGGGTTTGGATGTGTCAAAATTCTGGCCATTTGGACTGATATTGGCCATTTAGTGCACAATTAACTCAAAATCAATTGAAGATATATATATGGGAGCTATATCTAAATATGAATCGATTCTCACACATTTCAATAGGGTTCGTGCTAGGGCCAAACAAATATTGTTTGGGAATTTTCATCTCAATCGGAAAAAATATGCGACCTGCATTTTGTCCGCAAAA